TCCTTTGTGAGCTTATTAGTTGTCTGAAGTGGAAGGCAGTAGTCTGCAAGACATCCGGGAACTATGTTCGTTATATGCAGTTCAACTGTTCACTGCGGCCGCTGAAGCGTGGCCGTTGGCCGCGTTAGGCAGGTGGCCGCTGTAAACAGGGTACTTTACATGTAAAATTCGTAGGGACTGTTCGGTTGTGACCGCTATAGGCAGGTGGCCGCTATATCCAGGTTGCCGTTAACACAGGTTTGACTGTATTTATTAGTCCCCATTTGAACATTGTGTATGCATCCAGGCAGACCTATATCTTAGACATGCCTGGACCAATTACATTCAAATTTCACACATAGATCATACATGTGCTCATGATATACAGATTTTGTTCAAACATACATTGGATCTAGATGCACGTCATTTTGTTTTTCAGATCGGATTAAAAATGGCTGACTGGCGACCATTTTGTTTTAATGAATGCGGTTCTACAGCCATATCTCTGAAATGTTGTATATTTATCTCTGACACGTTTATAATATTACTATAAACAAAACTATATATCTTAAATTTGATAACTAACTGGGACTGTGACATGCATGGCTTGTTTTGTTTCAGTAATAATTGCACTATGTTTAAATTCTCTTGTAGGATTTACCCAAGTATTACATGTTAGCTCATACACTCTTTGACAGCGTAATGCAGTTACCAGAAGCATATCATCTGTCTGTAGCTGAGGAGGATATTGACAAGTTAGAATTTTTTTTATCAATTTTAAATTTTGAAATCAAATTAAGAATACTTAGAAGACCTTTACAAAGTTTGATTTTACCTCTAACATTTTGCTGACAAATTTTTCTGTTTTTATGTTTTTTTTCTTTAATTTTTTTCAATAATTTTGGACCAAATGGACACAATTTCCTATCAAGCCTACAAATCTATATAATAAATATGAAAAAATGGGTTTTAATTTTTGAATAGTGACCTGTTTTTTGGGTCTCAAAGGTTAAAGGTCGAAGGATAAAACTATGACCTTTATACATGTACAGGCTAACTTCAGTGCTTCAGGATATTAGTGGGAGGTGTTGTGTATAAATACAAAGTTTAATCTTCTGTGCATTATTATTTTTCGTCCTTAAATTTGGTGCAATATTTTATACATTTTTTTGTTGCTTTTGGCACAAATGAATATAATTTTCCATTGATCAAAATGTTGGGAAAAAATTGTCTGAATTTATTTTGTTACAAATGTTGACGGAGAAAGATTACACTCTTTATCATTAAGTGTATTTTAATTAATCACACCTTATATTGAAAATTCCATTCTCAGTTGTGATAAAACAAGATATTTTGTTGGTTAATCAAATCACAAAGTTCATAGGCAGCAATACAATTGCTACAAGCTTAATATATAAAATGACAGGCGTGTCTATACTCAAACTAACTTCAGTGATACTTGAACGTGCCATTTTCAACTCAAATAAATGCACAAGATACCATGGTAACAGTTATGTTCCAGTCCAGTTTAAGACTATGTTAATTTTAGTCAGGGTTTACTTAACAGCTTTCCTTTCCTGTATATGCACTAGTATACTTTATGAACTGGATACGGCTTTTGTGGCCCAAAGTCGTGCGGCAAAGTGCCCAAGCTTCCAAGAGTGTGTTAGCCCGTAAGACTGAGGGCAGCAAAGGCTATATCCAGTCAATAAAATGTGTATCATATACCTTATACAAATGTAGGTGTAATTACAATTTTACCACAACATGACCTCAAACACGTAATCCAGAATGATGCATTTAGTTTCAATTGATGAAAACCAGACGTGTAAGGGACGATGTCAAAAGATCGATGTCGGATAAAAAACTTAATTCCTTTAGTTTTTTTCCAAACCCCCCTACCCCCCACTGAAACTTAATTGATAAATATTGGTCATGGCGTCAGACTACATTCACCATTAAATACAAATTGATAATCAGACAGTAGTATTGCATAGCAGTTGGTTGTCGGGTGGGTGTAAAAAGATTTTACAAATGCACCTCATTTGACGCACAGATTTACACTCGAACCAAACCATTTTTCTGGGTTTTTTTTCCCCTTTTCGGTTATTTCTGTCCATGATTGGATAGAAAAAAACAACGAACTACAAATACTCCAAGATTTTTTTGACTTCATTAAAAAATAAAATCGTTTTTGCAGGATGGAAACTTTTTGAGGTCAAAACCCCCCACCCCCAAACTAAAGGAAATAAGTTTTTTATCCGACATCGATCTTTTGACGTCGTCCCTAAGGCCAGGCATGTTACAGGAAATAATTGCACTGATGTGAGGGCGCATTTCCCTTAACTTTACGAGGTATATGATAATAATTGATACACATTTCAGTTTACTTTGTTTATTGTGAGTCTCAGTTAAAAAGACTTTAATATTGTACTAATAATAGTACACATTGTGATCAAATGCTCTTGTTGTTTTTTTCAGGTCAATAAATTTCTGTCGAATATTTACAGAGTTAGCGGAATCATTTTTAGAATGCATAATCAAGATGCCCGGTCAGGTAAATGTATTTCTTAACATAAGCCAGTCTGTTCTTATTAGAAGTTACACTCCCAACAAAATATTTGATATACATGTAGTAAATGCATTTCATAACTTTAGCCGTAGTGTGACTTGGGGCTGTTCTTATTAGAAGTAACACTCCCACCAAAATATTTGATATACATGTAGTAAATGCATTTCATAACTTTAGCCGTAGTGTGACTTGGGGCTGTTCTTATTAGAAGTAACACTCCCACCAAAATATTTGATATACATGTAGTAGTTTGCATCAATTAAGCATTGGAATTCACTAAAAAACATTTAGGGGATTTGTGGATGTTTGTTCATTTGTGCTCCATCATTCACTACATTATTGTGGTACCTGATGTCAAGAAATGAAAAGTGTTCAAATGTGTTGCAGGAGAAGTTCATAACACATTCAAATGTAACATACCCATACAGATTTTTACAACACTGTCACTTCCAGATGTATAATAATGAGTTA